AACACTCGCCTAGAAAAAGCTTCTGGAAAGGATTCACTGGAAAGTATAAAAAGCAGTTTAATTGCTTAGAAAATGCTTTTCCATAGACAATCTCTGTTCTGTCGAATAGTTCTTCCCAAACACGCTCTGAAGAAGAAAGGCTCGCTTGCCCTCTCAGCAGGTTTAGCAGAAGGTGCAAAAAGCTTGCAGCCCGTCCTCCACCAAACAGGAGCTCTGCTAAAGTTGTCGCTCTGCCGCGCTGCCCACCCCGTTGGCGAGACAGGGGACCGCTCTCTCTTGCGGCTTGAGTGGTTTTTCGGTTACAAAAGAGCCCCTGACACAAAGCTTTGTTTCGTGCAGGGTTTGTCAGTGTGCGTCTTTACACTGGATTTGTAAATCAAACCTGTTACTGAAAAGCAATTCAAGAAGTGGCGCTTCCAGAAAGGGTATCTTTAAGGACACAGAAATACATCGTGTTAGAAGAATCGTTTCTAAAGGAGGTAAAAAATAGTGGTGGCCTAGATACAATCAAAACACCTACTGTGTGGTTGCTTCTTTTCTATAACGAAGGAAAAAGCACCACAGCAGACTGTGACCTGAGGGACGGGGAGCTGGGAGAGTGGCATGGCCCTGTCCTGTGTTCGGGGAGCGGGTCAGCTAACACATTCCTGGCCTTAACCTGCAAGTTAAGGGGAGGAAACCATCCTCTGATAGTTTGTTTGTCCTTGCCAAAAGGCTGTTGCTGCTGGGGAAAGGATGGAGGCTAAAGATCCCGGTCTTTTCTCATAGTAAATCTGTGCCTGGCTATGTACACTGAACGTAATAAACAAAAACATAATCCCTCCTGAGCAGAGACTAGCTGGTATATAATTTTTATGAAGCAAAGGGAAAAAATAGCACAATCATACAATACCACCGAGCCAAGACTCCTGGCTTCAGAGAAGCTGTTTAGCATGCAGCAGGCAGAGACCAGGCAGCCAAGGACCAGCCCGTAGCATCTTCCCATTTTAAACCACAGCTTCATAATCTGATTCATTTTGACATGCCCATCACCAATGTCCCATAGACTTCAGGGACATTTTATGCAGATATACTGACCTGCCAACACAGAATCTCACCAAAATACTGTGAGATCCACGAAGCTGTAGAAAAAGAGCCATGAACATTTGATTCCTAAGGCAGGGCTGTAAGTAGCAAGGAGCTTCCCGTTGGCTCCAACTTGCCTATTTGATCACTTCAAGGATTGTATTAAAAAAAAAAAAAATATTTTCTTTCAAATCGTCAAATATGACATAGTTAACGGAATTTGATTGCTTTACTGCATATGAATTTTTAAATAACTCATCTCTTTCTAGAAAGGGATACTTTTTTTACTTTTACCTTCCTTTTTCAGGGAATTCTGAGAGCAAAGAGGAATGAACATTCAAATGAAAACAGCTGAAATCTTTCTTTAATTAGACAACCACTTTTCGTGTGGTCTCAACACTGGCATCGCATGGATCAGATTCACAGGGCACTTCCCGACAGATCTTGAAAAAGTGTTTGACTATTTGAATGAACCTGCAGAAGGCTCTCTACAATATGAACATCTGCTTTACACAGGTTTAAAAAAGCTACAGAGAAATAAGCTTGCTTTAAAGCATTCTGAAGCCAGACAATTCCCTCAGAGTTCAGTAATCTTTCATTTACAGTCCTTCAGAGCCGCTATGCTCATCCCCGTTTTGCTAAACAGAAGCTTAGTGATTTGGAAACACTCTCTTGGGAGCTGCTGGATGTACATTAAATTGAGTGGAACTTCTGATATTTTAGAGATTGTATGTCTACTCAAATCCACTCCTTAATTAGGATGTTTTCAAGAGACATTCTGCAACGTTTGCCTGGTACAAAAGAAATTCATTACCAACATGTCAAACATGCACATGATTTTCCTTGTCCCAGAGCAGCAGGTAAAATAAATAAAGGTTGTCACCACTGTTACTGTAATGCTCCTCAAAGCCTCCTGAAAAAGACAGAGGTCTGGTCTCACCAATCTGTCCACATCAAGACAAGTCTTGTAATCCTGAGTATATGCTATTATTTAAACAAATACTGTCTGCTTGGTCAGATCTCCTGATGTACCTTAAATTTCATTAAGTCTTGATCTTCTTTCCACAGGACCTCACCTGCAAGGACAATCAGTAGCCCAGTTCATACTTTCTCTTGTATGCACAGCTGGGACACTCTTGCTACCAAACATGTTATGGGGTAAGGAGGATGCATCGGCATTATGTGGAGAGGGGGGGATGTGTTGTCAAACCTATTACTATCATTGGGTGAGGCATGCCAGTTGTTAGGGCAGAAGATGAGCCCTATCTCCTTCAGAGATAGCATGCTTTGCATCTGTCGAGATATTTGTTTTAAAAACACCTATTTTGTTAGCTAATGTTCAGCATCAGTAACAGCTGAACATTAGCTAATAATTGCAATTATTTTTGACAACATACTTCCAATATGGTACTTGATTAGACACTCTTTTCATGACCGAGGATGTCTCTTTCAATGAAAAGATGGGCAACTGTTAACTTGACAGACCTTGACAGGTCTAATTGAATCTCAGATGTCAGCTGAAGAAGTGGACAGGACATTATCTTAATCCTTGTGAAGGGTGACCACTCAGATCCACACCTTTCACCTCACAGTGTGAGAGCCGCTGCTTTTCAACGGCTGCGGGATTGGGAGAGGAAAGAAATGGCTTTAGCTGTTATTCACCAAATTGTGCACTAAATGACCACACTTGAAACAACTTCTTTTGTTATTCTCTCCAATTGACTTAAGTAAAGGATTTTTTTTGCCTTTATTCCTGGTAACTTGTAGGCTACATTGTTCTGGCACAGGACACCCCAGCATTTTTGCTATTCTGCTTAAACTTCTTTGTCTTCTTCAGTACATACTGCATTGACTATATACATCAGAGGAAAACTCTTCTGTGTGAATCCAACTTAATTTCAGCAAAGCACAAGATTTTTTACTTCCTTTTTCTGGCTTAATACCTTATCACTGGTGGCTTCACAGTAAATTTCTCTGTTCCCACTCATATTACTCGAAGTGCTGTAGAAGCTAGAGACAGAAGAAGCCTATCTGATTACGCATTTCCAGGCCATCAATTAATGCCCTGTGTCCTGTACTTCACCAAGAAACTTTGCTAACATTTAGGTGTCCTGTAACTAAGGCAGAAGCTTAAAACACAGTTCATGACTATTTCTCAGGACACAAACTGTTCCGAAATATACACTGTATTCCTGGGAATGCTCCAAGATTTTCTATAAGGAATAACAGTCCTCATTTGAGATCTTTTCACAGAGATGCCAATAGTATTGTTTTTCTATTGCAAACTTAATTTGCTACTTACTGTCACCATCCATTTATTTCAACCTTAGCCTGCTTACACAGAATATTGCTGTCCTGTATAATTTCCGCCTGTATACATTTCAGTGACTTCACAGATCATGAATTAATGGATCTCTGCAAACTGTAGACATCTCTTCCTGTGACTCTTTTCTTCAAAGACAATTTAACTTTATTTGTTGTAGGTGTTTTCAGGCCTAAGGTTTTCAAACTTTTGAATTACTCCTCTCTCATTGCTTCTGTGCAGAACTTTACACTGTGATACTACTTGTAAAAGTCATTAAGTCACTTCCATCCATTTCCAGATCATTATTTAAAAAGTTAAATATAACTGGATCTAACAGCAATTCCTGTACTCTGCCAGACACTCCCATACATAGCTTTTGATCATTGCTTTTTGTGTATCATCCTCTAGCCACATTTCAATCGAAATAATTATCCTCTAAAACACTGACATTAATTTTTCAATTAACT